CAGTGATCAAGAAATCCTGTGCTGAACTCTTTTATCACCTCTAAGAGTTTTTTAGTAGATGAATTGGGCTGTTCGATATATAGGATCATATCATCTAGCAAATAGGGCTGGGCACAGACTTCATGAATATGACCCCTAAAGCACGGGCAACCAAAGGAAAAATAAGCAATCAACGCTGAGCAAAAAAAATAAAGCTGGAGGTATTACTCTACCTGACTTTAAACTATACTACAAAGCTATAATAACCAAAACAGCATGGTATTGGTATAATAACAGAGACTCTGATCAATGGAATAGAATAGAGCACCCTGAAATCAACCCACGCACTTACTGCCATTTGATCTTCGACAAAGGCATTAAGTCTATTCACTGGGGTCGGGACTCCCTCTTCAGCAAAGGGTGCTGGGATAACTGGTTATCCATTTGCAGGAGATTGAAACTAGACCCACATCTCTCACCATTTACTAAAATCAACTCAAAATGGATTAAGGATTTAAATATACACCCTGAAACAATAAAACTTATTAAAGAAAATATAGGAGAAACCCTTCAGCAAATAGGGCTGGGCACAGACTTCATGAATATGACCCCAAAAGCATGGGCAACCAAAGGAAAAATAAACAAATGGGACTATATCAAACTGAAAAGTTTCTGCACAGCAAAAGAAACAATTAACAGAGCTAAAAGACAGCCAACAGAGTGGGAGAAAATATTTGCAAAATACATATCTGACAAAGGACTAATATCCAGAATATATAAAGAACTCAAACAACTTTACAAGAAAAAAACAAGCAACCCTATTAAAAAATGGGCAAAAGAGCTAAGTAAGCATTTCTCTAAAGAAGATATGCAAATGGCCAACAGTCATATGAAAAAATGCTCAACATCACTCAGCATCCGGGAAATGCAAATCAAAACCACACTGAGATACCATCTCACCCCAGTTAGGATGGCTAAAATCCAAAAGACGCTGAACGATAAATGCTGGCGTGGTTGCGGAGAAAAAGGAACTCTCTTACATTGTTGGTGGGAATGCATAATGGTGCAACCCCTATGGAAAATGGTTTGGAGGTTCCTCAAACAGTTGCAGATAGATCTACCATATGACCCAGCTATCTCACTGCTGGGAATATATCCAAAGGAATGGAAATCATCAAGTCGAAGGTATACTTGTTTCCCAATGTTCATTGCAGCACTCTTCACAATAGCCAAGAGCTGGAATCAGCCCAAATGTCCATCATCGGATGAGTGGATATGGAAAATGTGGTATATCTACACAATGGAATACTACTCAGCTATAAAAACGAATGAAATACTCCCATTTGCAACAACATGGATGGACCTTGAAAGAATAATATTAAGTGAAACGAGTCAGGCAGTGAAAAAGAACTACCACATGTTTTCACTTATTGGAGGGAGCTAAAGGTGAATGAATCAATTCACACACACACACCACACACTCACACAAAAACAAACAAACAGCAACAACAACAACATCAACAACAACAACAATAACAACAAGAAAAAAAAATCGGGGGGGGGGAGAGGAAGATTTAACAACCTCACCTTTTTTTTTTTTTGAAGCTCTTACAACGAGAAAATGGAGGGGACACATCTGGGTGGGAGGGGGGAGAGGGAGGAGGGAGGGAGGTTTTGGTGATGGGACACAATAACTAACTACATTGTATATTGACAAAATAAAAATTAAAAAAAAAAAAAAGAAAGATAATGTTAGTTGTAATTACTTCATTAAATGGCATATGTTTTTTTACTTTTGACCGGTAAGGGGATCGTAACCCTTGGCATGGTGTGGTCTGTACCACGCTCAGTCAGCGCACCGGCCATCCCTATATAGGATCCGAACCCGCGGCCTTGGCGCTTCTAGTGCTGCACTCTCCCGAGTGAGCCACGGGGCTGGCCCAAATGGCATATGCTTTTAAAGACAGTAAATATGAAGAACTCGTACCAATACTTTTGTAATTTAACTTAGCAAAATTTGAATTATTTTATGGTTTTAGTATGTAAAAATTGCTAAATTTTACTTCAGGATACATTTATGATAGGGTCTTAAAAAATCTTTTAATATTCAATTAGTTTGAAACATGAAAAATTTTTTTCTTAGTGTAGTTTTTTTTTTAACCTTAATATATATTATACTCATGAATTGTGTTCTCTAGCTTTCAAACATGCTATATTTTATTTTTACAGGAGATAGGAACAGGTGGCACTTGTCAGTGGAAGATATGTGGACTTAGTCCTACCACAACCTTAGCCATATATTTTGAGGTTGTCAATCAGGTATGACTTTTTGTGTTTGAAATTTAAAAAAAAATTTTTTGAACAGGCACTTAACTTAGGCTATGAATATTTCATATTTTTTTCCCCATAATAAACATGACCCAATGGTTGTCATTCAGCTTTGGAATTTTTGTTATTTTTGGTAAGAGGACATATTGTAACAGAAATGTCAGAGAAACCTGCAAACGCTAAACCTTGGGCAGCCCAACTTTCAGTTGTTTTCTTTTCTTTACTTTTTTAAAATACAAATTGAAGTGTACATAAAATTGTTTAAAAATTCCTTTCTAGCTATGTACTTTTGTAATTAGGTATCTAGCTTCTCCTAGTTGTCACAAGGTATATAATGATGTATAAGTCCTCCTAAAAGAAAGTGATATATATTAAAATTCCATAGAAAAAGATTGGAAGGTTCATATTTGGGAAGATATTTTATCTGCTACAGGAGGTAATTATCATATCAAAGAATGATATAAATTACTGACTTATTTACTGATAGTTATTAGGCATAAAATGAACCACAATGTATTAATAGTTTATCTAAGACAGGTGCAGGGTTTTTTTTTAAACAATTAAAATTTGGGAGAAAGTGACTGTTATTGACAAAAACATCACAACACGAAAAGCAAGAATGTCTACTGTCAAAAGGCATTAATAAAGTTTCACTATTGACTAGTTATTTCTTTCTGATGATCATTATTATACATCACTGTTAGTCTCTTCTCATTAATAGACTTTCATTGGTTATGTTTATCATGTGATTATCTTTCTAAAAGTTCTGCTTTCCTCTTCTATACCTAAGGGAGGAGGAGGTCAATTTCTCTTTATTCAATTATTTGTAGGCTTAAATTGCCTCACTTAGACCTTTCCTTTTCTGTTAATTTCTTTACATTCTCCCTTCACTTTCTTTCATGTCCTTCTGAATTATATATTACTTGAAAATTTGATCCCTAGAGAACTCACTCTTTTCATCCTGCATCATTTTTCCCTCCCCCAAATCCATTTCTCCTCTTCTGTGTGGCAAATCATGACTATTTTGTATGCAGTGAAAACAAGCATCCTTCTAATCAATTTTAGAATGTATTTTAATAGTGTTAGGATATGTGGTCTATGATTGTTTAACAACAATATAGTAGATTTTGCTTAGTTTTTACTCCATTATTTTTACACAGCATAATGCTCCAATTCCTCAAGGAGGGCGTGGTGCCATCCAGTTTGTGACGCAGTATCAGCATTCAAGTGGCCAGAGACGCATCCGAGTGACCACCATTGCTAGAAAGTAAATTGTATTTGTAGAGATTTAATTTTCATGTCAACATTATTCTTGGGTTTGCTTCCAAACTGAGATCCTATTTTAGGTGACATCCATGACGAGAAAGTGAGCATTTATGACTAATAGCATTTTCTTTCTTTCTAACCCAGCTTATTTGCTAGAATATTCATTGTTAAGAACTGTAAGAGCAGTTTTACTCCTAAGACACAGTCTTCAAAATATTTTTTTTTACCTTATTCTCATGAGAGGAGGAGAAAAATCAAACATTTTCCTGTAACAGGCAACAATTATATATATACAACTCATTATATATACACAAGATAATAATACAGCACAATAATGGTATTACTTTTTAATTGATGATAAAAGTTCTTAGCTTATTTTTACCCAAGTATTATGAGTCATTTAACTCATTTATTATCTTTATTCAGCTTCTGCTTTGTGGGCTAGTTACTGTTGTGGGAGGGTGTGAATGCAAAAGGCTTGGACATACTTGGTCTGTTATGTGGTGGTGTGGTATAGACCCATCTCAAACTATCTGTGGCAAAGAGCCAATGGTGTTCTTTCCTCCAGTCTTTTGGGGACAGATCCTTTTATTAAATACAATAAAAATGAATTACTAGGAAAACAAAATTTTAAAAAGGCGTTCAAAGCACAAGTTTCTATTTTTTATTATTAGACTCATTTTATATAAAATTATTCTGTCAAATTGCTCAGAGTATCTAAACGTTTATTCTCAGTTTCTCTTTTTATCTCATGGCAAACTGACATTGGTTCGCATACACACATATAAATGCTGTTATATTTACTTCTAAAAATCTTAATGTTTTAAAAATGTACAGTTACTTTTGAGGGTTTCTTTTAGGTTTGGTTATATTTTCCTGAAAAACAATGTTTTTCCTTAAAAACAATTGAAACTCCTGTTAGTAATTTTTTGAAAATGCTGATTTGTCTAGGTAATATTAGAATTTTGAAATGTTGAAGTAGTTCTCTGTATCTTATAGATTTAAATCTCTGGAGTAGCCAACTATGATATTGTGAATATAGTAATTCAGCATTTCTGTGCTTTCTTATTGTCCTTAGCTGGGCAGATGCTCAAACTCAAATCCAAAACATCGCTGCATCTTTTGACCAGGAGGCAGCTGCCATTCTTATGGCCCGGCTGGCAATATATAGAGCAGAAACAGAGGAAGGGCCAGATGTGCTTAGATGGCTGGACAGACAGCTCATTCGGCTGGTAAGAAGTAAACATTGTGCTTTTCTAAACCAGTGTGCTTTTATTTGCAGTAAATGTTTGTTGCATGTAATCTTCAAAGTTCTTAACAGTGCACCTGAAATACTGTATGAGGGACTCTTACTCAAATTACTAAGACAGCATGGTAATGAATAGCAGAACTCAATGATCTCTACCAGTGAATTAGAATGCCTTTTTTCCTTAAAATGAAAGAGTAACTGTTATGTATGCATCTTTTAAAAGAAATTGGATGTAAAAATTACACATATCAACATACAAAAATATAGATAAGTCTTGATTATCTAGATCTAGGTTACCAAAGTGTGTGCTAGTAAAGTTATTGGTAGTGTTGATTTACCTAGGTTTTTAGCACGTCAGGAACCCATTACTTAAATTATGACCTACACTGCTTTGTTAAGCTTAGTTCTTAATGTTCTAGGTCTACTCAGCAACCTCTGGCCTATTATTTCCTTGAAAGTACTTCTTTATTCACTCTTTAGCTCAAATACCCTGTTGAGAACCCAGTTAAGCTATTGAATTTCTGTATGTAGCACATGGTTTTTTATGTGGTTTTTAAAAATCTTTTTTTTTTTTTTTTGTCTTTTTCCGTGTCCGGCAACGGATCGCAACCCTCAGTGTTGCCCCCGTACTGGACCGGGGACCGGCAACGGGATTGCAACCCTCGGTGTTGCTCCCGCGCCTCGCTCAGCCAGTGAGCGGGAACCGGTCTGTATGTGGGATCCGAACCCTCAGGCGGGAGCGCCGCCGTGCTTCCCAAGCGGCGCACTATCCAGTGCGCCACCGGGCTGGCCTGTTTTTAAAAATCTTGAGTGACATAGTCATTGATTAATAAAGTTAGCCTTTTTTGTAGCATCTTCTAGAACTTTTTAAAAATTTCATCTCCGAGAGTTTTTTTTATACCAGAACCTCTTTGTGAAGAAAGCAGTGTAATAATATTAGCATGTCTTTTTTTTTTTTTTTTGTCTTTTGTCTTTTTCCGTGTCCGGCAACAGATCGCAACCCTCAGTGTTGTCCCCTTACCGGACCGGGGACCGGCAACGGGATCGCAATCCTCGGTGTCGCTCCCGCGCCTCGCTCAGCCAGTGAGCGGGAACCGGTCTGCATGTGGGATCCGAACCCTCGGGCGGGAGCGCCGCCGCACTTCCCAAGCGGCGCACTTATCCAGTGCGCCACCGGGCCGGCCCTAGCATGTCTTTTTTAACAAGAGAGATTAAACCTCTTGTAGGGTCATTCATTGATGGGATACCATCAGTACAAATGCCAACACAGTTCCTCCAAGATGGACCTTTTGTTTCCAAATAGGAAGATACATTAAATATATTTTGACCTTTGCTTGTTTAGGGCAGCATAAAAGTTTCTTTTTGCAGAAGAAAAATTTTTTTGAATTTTACTATCATTTAGAAATCTGACATGACATTGGTAAAACCTGTTAACTCATTGACCTACAGAGAAGCTTTTATTTTTCAGGTTATTATACATACCTCTTTAGTATCGTGACATGTCATCAATGCTTTGACTTAATGTACTATTTTAAAATAGAACCTTCTCAATTTCTCAGACTGTATCTTGTCCTAGCATTTTACTTACTATAATTTTACATGTTGGCATTATTAGGTTCTCACCACCCGTGTGACTTTACCTTTTCTGGGTAATAAGTTGTGCTCTGAAATAGCTTGCTTCCTAAGCCTTTTCACTGAATGTGACTGCCGTAACAAATACATGCTTTGTTGTTTTGAGATTCTAAAAGCTGTTTGAAGTGATCAGGATCTTTACTTGTCAAATTGCTGTGATGTGTTGTAACGTCCTTTTTCCATTTTGCTGGAGCTATTGCCCCATTTGTAGGTTGTCACATATGACACAAAATTGAATAGTACAGCTTGGATTATGAGCCTGTGCAAAGCCCACTGATAAGTACCTTTCATTGTAAAGATGGACTTTTTCTGTGTTTCTTGTTGCACTGTTGCAATGAAATGACTCAGATGATTGTAGTTCTTTAAAATTCTTAGAATCCTCTATAGGCTTAGGTCTGGAATCTTTCACTTCTTTTTCACACCTCAGCTTTAAAAACTGCCATCTTGTTTGACTTGTTTGCAAAACACAAACACTGAAAATACAAAACAGAAGGGCCTACTAAATAACTAAATGAGACAATTGTAAAAAGTACAGGATTACTCAGATTATAACTTATTTCCAATCTGCACATTCTACATTTTGCAGCATTTATAAAGCAATAAGGCAGTTGGGGCTAGAGGACAGGTGAGTCATGGCATAATGAAAATTTTCATATGTAGGAGCTCTTACAAATAGTAATATTTGGGTAAAAAATGGGCAAAGGCCATGAATAAGGTATTAACAAAAGAAGGAATGAAAATGACTAGTAAACATATGAAAAAAAGTTACTAATCTTCCTTATAATCAAAGTTGCAAATTAAAAATGACAATTTTTCCTTTTAAACTGGTTACAGTTAGAAAACCAGGATAGTTCTTAGAATTGGCTAGTATTCAGGAAAAAGCTTTGTAGTTTGTAGGTTTGCTGAATGAATCTGTGCCACCTTTATAAACAAGTGTATAACTTTATATATAGAAGGCAGTTGGTGACTACAACAAAAACTTAAAAACTATCTTTTACTCAGAAATTCTACCTCTAAGAATTTATCCTAAAGATATAACAAGACAAATGTAAATGCCAATAATGAGGAATTGGTTAAGATAATTATGGTATATGTCAATATATATATAGTGGAATACTAATCAGCCATTAAAAATGAAGTAATGTGATGACATGAATAAAAATGTTCATAATAGAAGCAAAAATTTGGACATAAGTATCAGCTATGTCCTGCTCTGGGAATTAGGCTTTTGTACACTCTCAGTTATAAAAGTCAACAATCTTTTTTGTTGTCCTCATTAACCATAATATCAGATTTGCCTAATACTTCATTTTAGCAGAATTTTGGACATAATTAAAAATGTATATTTAATATTGATGGATTTTGGATGTGACCGGTGCCATTGTGCACACAGTGAGCACAGCCTCGTCTTCCACTCCATCACCAAGCCCCTCCCCACTTCCCTTTACGAGAAGCCTCCTGACTTAAACAGAAACCCCTTTTTGCTTCCCCAAGGACACAGTTCTCCACCCCAATCCACATTAGCATAATGACCCTCCTTGATGTTATCAGCCAGCCTTTGGCACACTACATAAGCTCTACCACTCCCACACCTGGTGCTGTCCCTCATTTTCAGGGCATCTCCAGGCTGCCTGCCACTTTGAGCACAGCTCGGCAGATTTTCTTCCTTTAATAAAGCTTGAATGGTACCTGGCATCTCAGCTCACTTTCTTTCAAATATATGATTGATAGTTCGGAACAATGCCTGACATACTGGCTTTTTCACAAAATCTTTTTAGTGTATTTGATACTTTAGATCTTTCCAAGTGTTTTTGATATTCTAGATCAGCACTGTCCAGGAGAACTTTCTACAGTGATGGAAATGTTCTATAATTTGCACTGTCCATTATGAAACTACTACCCACACGTGTCTATTGAGCAGTTGAAGTATGGCTAATGCAACTGATGAACTGGGTTTTTACTTTTATTTAATGTTAATTCATTTAAATTGCCAAATATAGCTAGTGGCTATCATATTGAACAGTGAAGATTATTATCTTAATTCATAAATTTCATCAGTGAAGTATTAAGGGACGTTACAGACAACAACACTCTTATTCCCAGATCCAAGGTCTATTTTCTAAGGATTAGCTCTTCAACTATAGCTTTTTTATCCTTGGATAACTGTGATCCTGAAATGATTTTTCCTAGAAGCCAAAATGTGATCAAACCAATTATGCCTTTTTATGTGCTCTGTAAGGCGCAAGTATGAAAATGATACAGTTGAACATTCCAGGTAGCAAAAATCCTGTAGTACTTGTAGCAATGAACCTTTTGTTACTTTTTCTTCTTCTTATTTTATTTGTTGTTTTTGCCCATGATTCATATGCAACTACTATCATAAACATTGCCAGGAAATGGATCAATTGCATAAGTACTATAAAACTTTTTAGGGCAGAAACTTTGCTCAAGAATAAGGGGAGGAAGCTAACATTTATTGAGTGCTTAATAAGTGCCAGTCGTTGTGCTAGGTAGTTTCTCGTGCAAATTATCTGACTAAATTCTCCAGATGCCTTTTGTCAAGTTATCATAGAGGGCTTGCTTCTCTGTTGCCAGTGTAGGTGTCTTCCTTTATATCCTTCTCATTTCTGCCATTGTGATTCTTCTCTGTTGATGTCTGATTTTCTTTTCCTCAACTATTTATTCTTTTTGATATTGTTTCTGATGTACCAGATTTTATACTAGCAACTTGCATTTGTAGCCACTGTGATAGTTTGATAGTGCATCTTTCTGTCAGTCGGCTTTTGTCTTTTTTAGGTAGAGTCTTAGGAGGCACATGTTGAGCTTTTTTGGTCATCATTTAATAGCTCTTTATTTGCTATCAGAGACACTTAGTTCCAAACATTTTAAGGTGAGTTGTTATTGCATTGGGGCAGTGTATTGTTTATTTCTGAAATTCAAATGTTTTTCTTTGGTTTTAATCAGTCTCTTGGTAAGTCTATAAGTAATATTCTAATTTTAACCATTTATCAAGTATCTGCTTCCTAACGAGTATTTACTTTTTATAAATAGAATATGTATGGGCAACAGTTTTAGCTCTTATACCAGGAAATATATTACTAACACATTTTATTTTATTTAGTGTCAGAAATTTGGAGAATACCACAAAGATGACCCAAGTTCCTTCAGATTTTCAGAAACTTTCTCCCTTTATCCACAGGTGAGTAGATAAAAGGTCCATGCTCTTTTCTTGTGTTGCTTATACCATTGGTTCTCATTTTTTATATTATTTGTCTTTTATTGTTCATAGGATCTATTTGATTGTATTATTCCTTTGGTTAGCTAAGTTTTGGGATAGCTAAGGAACTAATACTATGCTGTGAGTAGATGGTGAAAAGTTTATAGTATTTTTTATTGGCCTTGTAAGTAGTCATTTACTTGTGGTAAATAGAGATTTACATTGGAACCCTTAATAGGTATAATTATATGTAAGGCTGATTAGCTTTTCATCTGATAGAAGAGGATCTATTTACATTGGTACCAAAAGGATATCATCTGAGGTAATTTTACCAATTAGCTAGTCTTATAACATGGTATCATCATCTGAGAACAATTTTATGGGGCAATACTAGGTAAATAGAAAAGAAACTAATTTGATTTACCTTACACAATATTTTCCACTTGGAGCAGTGAAATCTATCCCTCCATATTTCTGTTGATTTGATAGATACTTTTAAAAGTCTAGATTTTTAATATAACAAGTAACAGAGATGACATTTATACAACTGAATACTATGTGCAGGGAACTTTAGGAGGATAAAGATGACTAGCACAGATCCCAGTTACAAGGAGCTTTCAGTCTTGAAGGATGAGTTCTGAAATACACATAAACAGCACAGGACAGAAAGCAAGCAATGCTAGGAGAGAGATACAAAATTTAGAGAAAACTTAAAGGAATCCTTTCAAATGGATGGTTTGATACATTTTTAAATGCGGAGGCATTTTAGCTCAACTTGGAAGGAGGACTAGTATTGAAATGTGGAAATTCAAATTTTTGCCCATGAAAACTTTGTCTAAAGTTTCAACTCTCTTTTCAAAGCTGTTCAATTTTTTTGAAGATCCTTTATTGATCTGTAAACCCGAAACTCTGTGCTTTTTGAGGGAGACTCCCCTGAACCTCTGGTGAGGTTTCAGAGAATCAAGAAAAGGCAGGGTCTACTTGTCTTAACACATGCAAAGTTCCTTCTCTTTTGGGAATTCTCAGGCATCATCTTCATAGCAGAAACTGATAGGAATAGGAATGAGGGCATTAGCCTAAGTGTATGACTAAATTCTTTACATTTTTCTTACGCCTTCTCTTTAGGCTTTTATATCTTCAGAAAAATCTGGGCATCCCATTTTTTTCTTCTCTGCTAGAAATAGGAAGCAGAGGACCCAGGAATAGTTTTTTTGGGTGGGGGGAGGGTTTTCAAAACCTGATGATCTTCTAAAAGATAGCAAAGACTAAATTTAAGGGAATCTCCTAAAAATTTACCATCTAGACACTTCTGTGAGTAAACAGGAATGATTGAAGTGGTAAGGAATGAGAGAGCTTCTCGATGAATTATGGATCACTGCAAAAAGAAAAAGGAATGAGAATTTCAGTGATTGGCATGTGCTGGGAAAGAATTGTTGAGTGAGTTCTAGGCAGGAGCAACATGTAGGCATTTGGGACCTGAGGGGTGAAGGAATTTATGAGAAGTGACTAAAGACAAGTGGGAGTACTTTGTGGCTGCTCCTATTGATTGTATCAAAGTCCTTTATTCAGTCCTGACTCTCCCCTGTTTTGATCTCTTTCAAAAAGAGAGGAGTGAGGAATGGGAGGAGGGGAAGAAAGGAGAAAGAGTGAAACAGAGTCTGGAGAATTATTTATTAGGGATTGATAAAACCTTAAATATTATGAAATTATATGAGTGTAGATGGGTTTTTTTAAAAAAAAATAACCAATGCAAACACTTCCTGGTGCATGTTTTTGAGAGCTATACAAAAAGTAGAAAATCTGTTATTCTATTTTTATTTTCTTTTAGTGGTGGTAAAGAGTAGTAATAAAAAAGTCCAGAGATGATGTCAGAGGGATGGGTAATGAAAACAAAGAAGGCTGATAACACACCATCTGGCATCAGACTCCGAATAACTCAGATTTCAGCAAGGGGTTTTTGTCCTTCTTTCTTTAACTTTTTTAATGTTGTAGAATCATATTTTTAAGCAGCTGATAAATATCAGGAATAAGATTCCTTTCTGAGGAATATAATTTAGAATGTTCTTGTTATACCTTGTTTTATTGTGTTGTTAATAGTTGTAATCAAATGGTTTTGTTAATTAGCTCCCATTGCAATATTAAAATCAGTAAAAGCTGTCTCACATGTTTTATCTTGTAGTTTATGTTTCACTTAAGAAGATCTCCTTTCTTGCAAGTTTTTAACAATAGTCCCGATGAGAGTTCATATTATCGTCACCATTTTATGCGTCAAGATCTGACTCAGTCTCTAATCATGATTCAGCCTATTCTGTATGCGTATTCTTTCAGTGGACCACCAGAGGTAAGGGGAGTGGAAAAAATAAATTGGATTTGTGACTGTGAAGAGTGGCATTAAAAAATTGAAAGTAACTAAGGTTTTTTGGAAATAGTCATTACGAATATAAGAATTTAAAGGAAAGAATAGTTGAGCTATTTATGTATTCATTTAATAATATTTATGAGTGCTTACTGTATGCTGGACATGCTAGGCTGCATTAGGAAGTCATTAAAAATAATACAATTGTGATGTGGAAGAGACTTTTAGATCATTTTGTGCAGCCATGTGGTTGATTCTCTAAGGCTTTTAATTATACTTTATGTCTTTAACAATGTCCAGAAGTGATTATGATTCTATAATCTGTAGCTTATTTGAGAGTTTAGTGTCTGACAGTTGTGACATTCTGTTTAAACAAAGTCTCGTTTTAATAAAATCTAGTTTTCCTATGGTCTTTTGAGAACATATAATACAGTTGATTATAAAGACATATACGGTACTTAGAAGAGTGACAGTCATCCTTTAACCTTCCTAACAGGTTAAAATAAGTGGGACAGTCTGCTATCAAATGAACATTTTTTCTCTTCTATAGTTAAAGTTGTCTGTTTTACCACTTATTAGAGACTATACTTGAAAATAATACATTAGGAAAGGTCAGTATAAAGAGAATATTTATAATATCTGATTGATGATTCCCTAATGATGCCCTTAACCACTGTTTTGTAAAATAGTGTATAAAATGTTTTATTTTGTTACTACAAATTTTTAGTAATTAAATCGTTTTTACTTTTTTAGAAAAATACATTTTAAAAATATTTTGGATTAGCTATATAGTTTGATCTTGTAGTTTTTTTGAATCAGGAAAATAAGTTTTATAGATAACTTCTTTTTTCTTATTTCAGAGTAATATATGTAAATTGCAGACATTTGGAAAATGTAGAATAGTGTTTAGAAGAAAATTGGAATCCTGCCATCCTTAGTGCCTGCTCTATCAAATTCCAACCTTTCTGTTTAATCCATCAATCCCATTAGCTTCATTTTTCTTAAGGAATCTTTTGAGTTATCTTTCTCTCCTACATCATCACTTTTTGTTCATCGGAACATTCTTATTAACATAGAAACTTTAACAGCACTCATAATAAACAAGAAAACTGACCAAAAAAACCCCCCACCTTGACACACATTTTTCTCTTATTGCCACCCATTTCTCTGCTCCCAGTCACGGTTAAACTCAAAAGGTTATTTGTTGTCTATACTTCCTCACCTCACATTCTCTTTTCAACCTATATTAGTCACACTTTTGTCCTCAGCATTATACTGAAGTGGCTCATATCAAGACCACCAATGTCCTATGTCTTGCCTGAACCTAGGGAGACCTCTCCTTGAAAACATTTTTCTTTAGGCTTCTGTGACACTTACTACAGCTAAAACCACGTGGTTTTCCTCCTACTCACTGACCCTTCCTTCTCAGTCTCCTTTTGCTGGCTTCTTCCTTTCAGACCTCTTAAATGTTGGCATGCTGCTTAAGGGCTCAGTCTTTTGGCCTTCCCTGTCTTACCTCTCTGTAAGTGATACAGTCTAACCTCATAGCTTTAATTACCATCCTCATGCAAGTGATACCAAAATTTATGTCATCAGTTCCCTTTCATTTTATTTACAGCACTATTTTCCATGTGCTCCAAATTTGCTCTATCCCAAGCCTTTCCCATTTCACTCAGTGGTGCCATCAGGCTTAGGAGTCATTTTGATTTCTGCATGACTTTATGCTACTTTTTGTTTGTTACCTCAGTTTAGAAAGATTCCTTAGAAAATTAAATTAAAATACACTGTGAGAATTCATAATAGAGATTTTAAGTAATAAAATATAAATTTAAAATTTAGAAAATATCTTGGAAAGGTCTGTCTTGTATCTTTAAGTAATTTATTTTTCCTTTTTCCTCATCTCTCCTTGTTTTCTTCATATTAGCCGGTTCTTCTTGATAGCAGCAGCATTCTTGCAGATCGTATTCTTCTCATGGACACATTCTTTCAGATTTTGATTTATCATGGTGAGGTAAGATTCCATAGCACTTACAACTATGCATGTAAAGTCTTTTTACCTAGGGAAGTTTTTCCCCTGTATTATATGGCTAGTATTTCATCTATTATAAACTTTGATTTCTGTTTTTATAAAATATGTATAAAATGTGATTCTTCCTACTGTAAGTTTTTAGGCTTCAGTTGCAATTGACCCAGCTGTGGTCGTTATGTTCATTTGTCCACATTTGATTGGACAAATGGATTCTACACAAAGCATAGTATTGAGAAAGTAAGAACACTGACATATACGTAAACATGTCACACTTTAGGGTTTCACCTGAAGACATTGTGAGGGGAAAAGTCAGCCTTTGTCAGTGGGCAGTCATTCCTTTGTATTATTTCATGTAATTGTTATGAGGAGTTAATAAGTGTTCCATGTGATCTTGAAAACCCATTTAAAGCATAATGAATTAAAATTTATAACTTAATTTGGTGGTAAATGATTGAAAAGAACAGAGTATTTGAGTAGCTGTTAAGTTTTAATCCAAGTATTTAGCAGAACTCTATTCATTCAGCCAATATTTAAGTGCTTCCTCTGTATGAAAACACTGTACTCTGGATACTTTGGAAGATACAGAATTTCTTTTTTCATATAGACTTGCACTCAAGCTTATAGTCTAGTATTTTAGTAACTTGGGCAGATTTATTTTTCTAGTTGCTTTAATTATAAATAATTTAGATTTGCATTGTAATAGTAAAAGTGTTACTCAAAATATCTTTTTAAGTAATACTCTTGGACTTCTTAAAGACTTATCGATTTTGATTATTTTTAATTGATACCAGTTTTTAATGCCATTTACTTTTTAAGAATAATACCTGTAATACTGACAGGCTTAGTTTTTTGATTTTTTCATTTTGTTTTTATGGTAATTTTTGCCTTTTCAAATGCTTCTTGTTAATGTGCTTAAAGGAGAAATCAGAAGTACAGATGCCTGTTTATTAAATACAGAAACATAAAGCTGTACAGAATATACATTGGCTCATTCAGTTAACTTAGAAACCAAACCAACTTTAAATTTTTGGATGATTTAATTACATGGTTTTTAGAGCCATTTACCTTAATAAAGGAATTGATTCAGTTGCTCCTCTACAGGTATATTATCTTTGTAATGTTATTGCTATTATTATTAAAATTTTTATGTTTATATGTCTTGTGGGAATGTAACACCATTGGTAAAGACGTCATAATAGTAGGTCATTAATTTTGAAGTCTCTGGGAAGTCTTCTGTAATTTAACCATCCTCCCCCCCATATCACAAGCTTAGGTAGATAGCTTTTAGCTATCATTAACTTGATAAGCGTAATATTTTAAAAATTTTCTGGCTTATATAAGTATTATTTTGTTTTACTTTTAAAGGAGAAGTAGTATCCTAATTTTGCATCTATTTACTTAAGAATATTTTCTCTACTGAAATTAGTATTTCTAACAACAAAAATCGAGGTAAATGGAATAATGTTCTATAATTTTCTTATTTTCTGAAGATTACTTCCTTTGAAAAAATCTTTATTAATGGGCTACAGTAATCAACCACATTGTATATTGACAAAATAAAATAAAATTTAAAAAAATAAAAAATAAAAAATAAAAGATTTTTAAATGGTCAGGAAATTTAAAATAAGTCCTTTAATTGTTTTAAAATTAGACCATAGCACAGTGGAGGAAGTCAGGATACCAGGACATGCCAGAATATGAAAATTTCCGCCACCTTCTGCAAGCCCCAGTGGATGATGCACAGGAGATTCTTCACTCCAGATTTCCAATGCCGAGATATATTGACACTGAACATGGGGGCAGCCAAGTAAGTAATGTTAATTTGTGTGTTGTATTGATAGGTTTGCAGTGAGGTTTTCCTAATTGCTTTCTGATTTTAAATTGAATGGACTACTTCATAAGGCAAATGGAGGGGGAAAGTATCCAGGACTTGGTTTTTGCGTTAGCTTTGAGAGCAAAGCAATAAGACTGTTGACTAGCTGCCTAAAGCAGGCAATTTCCTTCACCTTCTACCACCAGCTCAGCTCTCCTAACAGAGCCAGGATGGCACTGTGGTAGTATGCCAGCTTTAGTTGAGCAAGAAGATATGAACAGCTTGGGAAATAATTTATTGTTCTTTTCTTAAAGCTGTTTATTTACTGGTAAAGTATTTGACTATGAAGTTTGTGGTAAGTTACTTTTTTCTGTTTTCCTCATTCGTTTCTCTATCCTTCCAGTTTTCTAGAAAATAAATCATCATGTAAAAGGAAAGCATTGTGGTATTATAAAAGGCTTTGTGGTTTTTAGAATTATGAGGATTAAATAAAATACATGTGCATACACACCCAACTGTGTTTTGAGCCCTTCAGAAGGCTAGATTTAGGTCCCTTTAACATACTTAAAAAACACTTTTTTAGCTCCCCCTTGTAATTTTTAAAAGAGATAAAATAAATTAAGTATAAGTTGTTATGGGTTTGTGTCACTTGCATAGTGCTTAGCACAGTACTGCAGAATAGGTAGCAGATATTATGAGTAATATTAGTCAGAAACGATAGCAGTTATTATTAGGGTTTTACTTTTTTTTTTTTTTTCCTTTTTGTCTTTTTTTGTGTCTGGCAATGGACCGCAACCCTCAGTGTTGCGCCTGTACCAGACCGGGACTGGCAACGGGATCGCAACCCTCGGTGCTGCGCCCGCCCCTCGCTCAGCCAGTGAGCGGGAACCGGTCTGTATGTGGGATCCGAACCCTCGGTGGGAGCGCCGCCGCGCTCCCAAGTGGTGCACTGTAGCAGTGCGCCACCGGGGCGGCCCATTAGGGTTTTACTTTAAGTATAATAGGCTTTATCATGTATTGAGAATTTGCAAAGCACTTTATATACCTTATCTCATTTGATCCTCATAAGAATTCTATTATTTCCATTGTACAGGTAATAAAACTGAGACTTATGTTGCTTGTGGCCAAAGAAACAGTAAATGGAGGAGCTGGGATTTGAGTCCTGGTGTTTTGACTCCAGAGCTAGCACTCTTGACTGTTGTATTAAACTGATTCCTTGAGAGCAGAAAAAAGATTTTTTATGATACTGAATTTTAGAAGATATGACTGCCTGTGTTCTCCAGTATGAATTAAACACTTATGGCTAGTTCTCTCATTGATGTCTCACTATGTGTCTTGCCATTTTCCTCTTTTTTCTGGCTTCTGTTTTTATGATAATAAGTGATAGTGGGTAGATGGGTGAAATGTTAAGTAAGCTGTCTCATGTAATCACCTGTGGCTTAGAAAGTTTGAGAGTCATTGTTTAAAGTAAAAGAATATATAGATTTTCATGGGCTTTATTTTTATTATTATTTGGGACTTTGAACTTCTGATGTTTCAGACCAAGTTTACAGTAATTTCACACTAACCTTGTCATAATTGTTACACACATGATTTTTGTGTGCTGAGTTTTGGACTCATTTATTTGTTATTATGAATGTTATTATGATTGTATGATTTGGAGAGAAGAGGGTACATTAATTATTTATTTATAACACATAGTGGCATACACATTTCAAAATTTAGTTAATCTTTTAAAAGTTACATTTTAATAAAATTAATTTTACCAACTCAGATAAAATCGACTTTAGATAATATAATGTATTTATTCAGCTTTAACTGTCCAAATCTGTTTTTGATGGATAATGTTATTTACTCTTTGCTTTTAAGGCCCGTTTCCTGCTTTCAAAAGTCAACCCTTCACAGACTCATAATAATATGTATGCCTGGGGGCAGGTAAGTGCAAATAGCAGGCCTTGGAAATTATTTCTTTGTGTATTTATACTTTGTTATCTTACTGAAAGCTACATTTTTTTTTCCTCTGTATTTAGTAACGATTTCTGTTGGAAGAGTAATGGAAAAATAAGAGCAGAAGATAAAATTAGAATTGGATAGGACTATAGAAAATAAAAAAGTGATCCTATCAGATAGACAGAACCCCTTCATATCAAGCTTAGCACTATACTCTTGAGACAAAAAGCAATAACATGTACAAGATGAGATAGGGAGTGATGATTCAAGCTTCGTGCTAGGCCACAATAAGCCAGGAGAGGCCATGGATTATAGTTGAGCAGAAGAGGCAGGAGGCCTGGAAGTCATTATGGATATATTTTAATTTGGTAGAGTCCTACCTCTTGGTGTAATATATAAACATTTATCAAGTGTCTGATATATGCTGGACATTGCATGAGGACAGGAATTCTAGGTAGAGGAGACTATGGGCTAAGATAATAGAGTACACATAGAGATGAATAGTAGAACACGAAACTAGAAATGTGTTGTATGACCAAATTTTGGAGGATCTTTGAATGCCAGGTTGAAGACTGAGAATTTGCGTCTTTATTTGGTAGATAATGGAGAGTCATTGAAGGTTTTTGGACAGGGGGGCAAATTTGAGTCTCAGATAATGTAGTTGAATCTTAAGATTAATTGGGAGCAGTCTGTATGTTGAAACTATATTTATTAAAGTAATCCAATCGAGAGAGAATGAAGGCAAGATGGTGAAAAGAATAGATCTGGGAGTATTTCAAAAGTAGACTCAATGGGACTTGATTGGAAATTGCAGGAAAGTGTAATACTCCAGGGCAAGACAGCTATACAGAAGATATGAATTCTGATTGGATCATGGATTAGAGGGAGAGAATAGCTATGAAGAACATAATTGGGGTGATTTGTGAAAGTTGAATATAGACTACAGTATATCAGATAACTAGTATAATATTAAATTTCTTGAGTGTAGTGATGGTGTTGTGATTATGAAAGAGATTGTCCTTGATCTTAGGAGATACATCCTGAAGTATTTAGGGGTAAAATGTCATGATGTCTTCAACTTGCAGAAATGATTCACAAAAAGAAGAAAAAAGGAAAAATACGTAGAAATGTAAAGCAAATGTGACAAAATGTTAACAATCAGTGAATTTAGGTATATGATATTAGAGTGTTTATTATGTTTCTCTCTCAACCTCTCTGTAGGTTTGAATTTTTAAAAAATAGTTGAGGAGAAATAAGGCAGTTTGGGGCTTTGAGCCTGGGTGAGTAGGAGAACACATGTCAGAAAGTGGGAGGGTAGAGAGAAAATGTTTGATTTTAGATACATGAGTTTGAGATACCATCTAGATGGCCTTACTGAGCCATGGGATGGCCATATTGATTGTGGCCATACTGAGCAGGCTATTGGAAATTTGGGTTTGGTGGTCAGGGCAAGAATGTGAAAGTTGATTCTAGAAGGGTGGTACTTAAAGTCATCACAGTAAACGCTTGTCTAAGGAGAGAGTACAGAGGTAAAGAGAGATGAGATAAAACTTTGAGGAAGTATAAATGGTAGAAGTATTTTATAAATAATCAGAGGTAAAGGAGAATCAAGAGAATACCATGTCATAAAAGGTGAAGGAGGACTTTATAGAAGGAAGAAGCTGGTAACAAACACTGAAATGCTGCAAACAGTTGAAGGAGGACAAACTGAAAAAAAGCAGTTGGATTTGATAAGTAGGAGGTCATTTGTGGCCTTTGGTATAAGCAGTTTTAATACAGTGGTTGAGTAGAAGATAAATTGTAAGGAATTAATGGGTGTAAAGAAGTAGAGGTTGTAAGTATAAATGATTCCTTTGCAAACTTAGCCTGAGGATAAATAGGATAGGTGGATGATTGTTATTAGCATAAGGGCACAGAACTTATTTGTAGACAAGCATAAGGGGCCAATATGGGAAGACACAAAAGAACAGATGTTTAAGATCCTTAGAAGGAACATATATGATCACAAGTGCTGTATGGGGGTTAAGCATTGGTAAGGAGGCATGACATTTCTTTCTGCAAAAGAAGAAAGTGAGAAAAGGGTGAAGAAACAGTTTTGAGGTGGAGAGAAAGCTCATTTGGGTAATTGCCTGTTTGTTTTTTCCAGTAATAGATTATTTGCTAATAGTAAGAAAGGCTGCGGTTAAGGACTAGAAAATAGAAAAGATCACAAACAGCTATAAGGGGCTGGCTAGTTAGTTCAGTTAGTTAGAACATGGTGTTGATAACACCAAGGTCCAGGGTTCGATTCCTGTACTGGCCAGCAGAAAATTAAAAACAAAACAAAAAACCCAGCTATACGGAATATAAGAAATCAACAGAAGATGAATAAAAGGAGTTTGCAGCAGTGGTAAGGGCCCATTTTATTTACTAACTATTTTTAGAGCATGCTTCCATAAAGTCCTTTAACCATGCTTTGTAGTTCAGGCACTGGACCAAAGATGAAAGACTTTGAAGGTAACTTAGGACTGGAGTTGAGAAAGTTGGGCACATTAGAAAAGGGGTAGAACAGTTTAAAGCCATGTTAATTGACTGTGGGGGCCAGGCTGGGTAGAAAATAAATGAAGCAATAATTGGGATTAAGTCTCCTTCCCTTTGAATATAGACGTGTCTCAGAATTTTGTCCTGATTTCCTACCTTCACTGTTTCTCTGGGTGATTGTATCCACTCATGGCATTGGCTTTCATCTGAAAGCTAAGTTGCAAATCTCCATCTTTTATCTGGCTTCACATTGCGCTATAGACTTGAATTTCTTTAACTGCCTGCTGCACATTACTTGAATTTTCTGTAGACATTTCACAAGAAGAATGCCCCAACTTGACTGTCTCTCTTTTTATACCATCTTGTTTTTCCTGGTTTCCTATTTTTTTACAGAGGGCCTTGCCAATTCTCTCATTCCCAGGGCTTGGAACTTTAGTCTTTTACAATTTCTCCTTTCTGTCCCTAATTACTCACAAATGTTTTGCCTTATTTCCCATATCCATTCCCTTTTTTCCTGTCATTAACTGAGGTTAGATCCTTGTTACTTTTCACACAAACTGTTGGAATTACCTGCTAACTGGTCTTAGTGCTTCAACTTTTCTTTGTTCTGGCAGTGGCCAGAAGGGTCTCCCTCAAGTGGTTATCCTGAATATCAGATGTGAAATCTTCCACAACCCCTTATTGAATTACAGTTGACCCTTGAACAACATGGGTTTGAACTGCACAGGTCCACCTAAAGGCTGATTTTTCTCAACCAACTGTGGTATTTTAAGTACTGTATTCATGGAAACCTGTGTATAGGGAAGGACAACTTTTCATATCTGGCAACTGTGGGACTTGAGTATTTTCGGATTTTGGTATATGTGGGGGTCCTATTCCCCAAGGTTACTGAGGGATGACTGTACATATAAACCCTTTATATTGCTATTGAGGGTCCTTTCTGGTTTGATCCAAATATTTTTTTCCACCTTTAGCTACTACTTAGTACTTTTAGCCAAACTGGACTTCTCATTCCACTTTGAATACACTGAGCATACTCCCATCTCTGTGACTTTGTCCCTATCACCACTTGGACATATCCTAGCCATCCATCAAAGCTTAATTCAAAGTTCACTGACTCCAGGAAACCTTTCCTATGATTGCATGACTGGGTTTGTGTAATATCCTTGCTCTGTGATTGCTTTTCTCCCCCATGCATTTCCTACAGCACTTACTTTTCCTGTTAGGTTATAAATTACTTGAGGGCAATAAACTGTGTTTTCATTTTTGAATTCCCACAGTACCTTAGACATAGCATATACTAAATATAATAGATCTGGACAGAAGAGCAGAGATTAGAGTATGGGAGATCTGTGGAGGTGGTTAGAAGTTAAGGAGGTTTTGTGATATAGATAAATAAATTGAATCCATTAATTCTGAAAGTCTGAAAAGTGGGGAGGTTTTTATAACAAGGAAAGGAGCTTAATCTTAGAAGTGTGGAAGGTTGGTAGTTCAGAATGCAAGCTCTGCAAGTTACTTCTCTTTGCCTTTACTTCCTTTCCATTTTTATGATAATTTGTTTAGGAATTGACTTTAGAATGGTAATTTTCATGAACATAATTTAATGTTTTGGGTTATTTGGAAAAATAGTTTAGAGATGAAAAGCTTTTTTGGGGTAACAATCCCACAGCTGACTTGTCTGCAGAGTTGAACGTGTTTGATATGGACATTAATATTTTGTAAATATTATCCATTAGTTTTTACTGTAATCAATGGAAAAAAAAGTCTCTCCCTAGAGATATATAACATAGGAAAGAAACCTATTTTAAGCTTTGAAGTTTAATTATTACTGCCTGGAAGTAGGGGCATTAGAGGCATAAACAAGAGCCCTAAGTTCTTTTTTGATTTAGGATTTTTATAAGAGAAATTATGTTAATTTTTTATAAATAATACAGATTATAAATTATGATTATTATGTTTCAGTCCCTATGCTAAGATTTCTATGCACTCTCATTTAATTGTTAAAAAACTTGTAGAAGGTGGATACCATTAATCTCTATTTTTCAGAATAGAAATCGAGGCTTATATAGGTTAAGTAACTTACCCAAGATCACATAGCTAAACTGTGGCAGGGTCCAGATTTTAAACCAGGTCTGTCTAACTCCAGACTCTGAATTTTTAATCATTAAGCTAATTTGATGATTGCAATTTAGTGAATTAACTTGGTAGACAAGGATTTTACTAAAAATTAATGGTATCTAATATTTTAGTGGGGCTTTTTTAGGGGTGGGGTGGGGCGGAGGAGTCAGAAATCAAGCACTCAGTAATAGGTATTATCCATGAATGTCCTGAAGAGGGCACCACGGCAACACTGTTGTGACAGGGTTCTGGAGGCCTCCATTGCTATAGTGCTTCATATACTAAATGTAAGGCTTGGACCTTTCTGCCTAATCGTGGATATGTTTTTACTTATTTATACGTATATTTATTTATATACACATATATTTACTTATATATATATTTATATATAAGTAAATATATATATATTTTTTTTCTCATGCACTCTTTTATTTTTTTATTAGCATATTCATTGTTGCAAATCATACTTATTCTTTATGCCCGTTATTCCTCCTCCCCATCTAATAACCATAGATTTGTTCTCTTCATCTGATAGATTAACTGTTCCTCTATTGGTTTGTTGCCTAGATGATCTGCCAGTACTGGATGGGTGTCCTCCCCTATTATAGTAAATCAGATCCTTCTATTACTCTGTGTAGTGTGCTTTGTGGAGAGGACCTCTTTTTTTAGTTTATATTTTTGTATTTTGTATTTTTATATTTTTACTTATTTACATTTAAAAAAAAGTTTTTTTTTTTTTTGGTGGCTGGCTGGTACAAGGATTGGATATATTTAAGATAAAAAGGGCCCATTTAAAAAATTGAGATCAACTCACTGCTCGTTTTTGATAAAATTGAGTTGAGCATTAGTATTTAAAATTTCAAATAAGATTTCTGCAGTATGTAAGTTAGAAAATCTGTATCTATTTTGTCTTGACTAGGAGAAGTAGGTCTTGGATTGGGTTACTTGAAGAGGGAAATTTGTAAAACAAAAAAAAAATCAGGTATAGTATGGAAGGAAAAAGCAAGAGCCACCAGGTTATTATTGGTTTAGTCACATTTTTGAGACCTGTGCTTCTCTGTGTTAACTATGAAGGTAGAATAAGAAAAAGTATTTCAGTGTTGAAAATAGTAGATTTTTCAAAAGAAGTAATAATAAAAATAGCTAAAACATGTTGTGTGCCTGCTGTGTGTGTGGCAGGTATTGTTCTATTTGCTTTATACAATTTAACTCATGTAATCATTTACAATTGAGTGGGATAGGTCCTGTTATTAGCCTTAATTTACAGATGAGGAAACTAAGACACAGATCAAAGTCACACCGGTAGTAAGTGGCAGAGTCAGAATTTGAGCCAAGGCAGCCTGGTTCCCGACTCTGTGTCCTTAATCCCAGTGCTGTTGCCTGTCTTTATTATCAAGTTTTTCAAGGTCTTATGAATTAACATATGATAAATTGACTTTCATTTCTTCAGGAGAGTTTATGGTATGTCTGTGGCCATGCCAGACTAAAATCACAGGAGCTATAAATTCTCATCTTACATTTGCCAGTAACTTACTGATGTCTTTTGAAATTTACTTAATTTCCCTGTTTTGGTCTTTTTATATTTATTAATAAATAAGAACTTGAGAACTTGAATTCATGTATAAAATCTTCTAGAAATACTTTGCCTTGCGACAGTAAAATTTTATTGTTAATGCATTGGGTTACCAAGGTCATTCTATTAACATGATTTTTATTATAATGGATATTAGAAATTTTCCCTAACTTTTGTTAATTACTTAGAACCCACAGAAATCAGTTTAAATGACTTGAAAATTTGATAAGCATAGTGTATTTTAAAAATGATAATATGAATTTGCTTCCATCCAGCTGGCATTTCTGTTAAAATGCCAGGGAGAAGAGGTCTGGAGGTCAGGCTGTCTTAAAGCCCAACCCTTTAATTGCATCATTCGTCTTTCTAGTGACCAGCCCCCATCCTGAGTCATCTCATCTCATAGCATAAACTCAGGTGTGATCTGAGCATCCCATGCATAACCACAGACACAACTATTACTCCGGAAATGCTGAGGATTTAGTCTCCCTCCCGGGAACCAGCGACAAGTTAGGGTCTTCTTTTATTCAATGAGAGCATAGGCATTATTCTAATAACAATTTCTTTGTCTATTTTAAACATTTGCTTATACATTGCTTAATACATTCCAATGTATCACCTTATGTTTTAATCATAGCAAATATCTTTCTTTTCCTCTAGGAGTCTGGAGCACCTATTCTCACAGACGATGTTAGTTTACAAGTATTTATGGATCACTTAAAGAAACTTGCTGTGTCAAGTGCCGCTTGAAGTGCTAAACAAGTTAAGGACACTTAAGACGAAATAATATTTCAGTTCCCTTTTTTTTCCCTTTTCCAGTTTATCTGTGGAAACCAACAGAGCTATCTCTCCAGACTTACTTTGTATTAGTATGGTTTGAGACAACATATGGAAGAATGTTTATGTTTGTAGATTAAGCTGGAATATAATGAGAGCAATAAGAACAAATTTGTTTTGCTTGCCACAGTATTATAACTGGTTTTAGAAATTTGCAGTCTTTATAACTTAATTATGTTTGAATGAAAATAGTCTGCCTTGTACAATAGATATAACTCATTTGTACATTGCAGACAAATCCAAAGTGGCACTGAATGTCCTTGCTGACCTTTTAAAAACTTTTTTCTTAATTTTAGCCAGAAAGTAACAATATCAATAGTAATGATAAATGTGAACATTTTTGCTTATTCATTGAGTATTTTTCTGTGATTTTCAGCACTTATGTATACACTTTTTCTATACTTATTCTGTTAAGGCAGATTTATTTTTATGATTTGTTTAGGAATTGATTTTATAATGGTATTTTTCATGAACATAATTTAATGTTTTTGGTTATTTGGAAAAATAGTTTAGAGATGAAAAGTTTTTTTGGGGTAACAATCCCACAACTGACAATAAATATGAAATTTTCACAAAGTACCCAACTTATGTGACTAAACAATTTTTTTTTTAAAGAGAGATAGAAAATAAACCATTTGGTCAAGAGTGCATTTTAGAAAGCCTTTGCTGTAAAATGACTGTTGTACCTACTAAACCAAATTCGGTTTTACTGCATGGTTTTGTTGTTTCCCCTTGTTTTTCTGAATTTTACATTGCATCCTTCAGTATTTTAACATTATTTTGGGAGTTTACACATTGCTTTTTGTTTCTGTTCTTTCTTGTGAAATTTACGAAGTTGTGGTTCTTATTGAAACAGTATTATATAATTGTTTAATTATATCATGTGGTGATGCTCAATTCTATTTTGATTTATTCATTAGTATCATTCACTTTTGTCTTTGAAAGTTTACTTGTAGCAAATATGTTTACATTGCTAAAGCCAGATATGTTTTGACAATGAAATTTACATATCAAGTACTGCAATAAAAGGTGGTGCTATGATATATGTTTAGAAGGACAGTTTTGATGATTGTACTTGCATGAACACAATCTTAAGATGATAAAACAGAAACTTTAAAACGTGTTATATTCAGTTAGCTTAGAAAAATTTGCTTTGTTCCATCTTATTTGAATAAATGACAATAAAATATACTTTTCTCTTTTTTTCTGGTTATTTTGAAATCTGTAAAATGTGAGAAGCATAATGTAAATTAGAGCATTAAATCTACTATTAGTGGATGAAAAAGTTACTGATTTTAAAAATTATAGCTTTATTAAGATATAATTTACATACCATACAGTTTATTCATTTAAAATGTACAGTCAGTGGTTTTTTATTATTTTCGTGGAGTTTTGTAACCATTATCACAATCCATTTTAGAGCATTTTCATCATCCCAAATGTAGTTCTCTTATAAGGCAAATGTGTTTTGGAGTTCACTTGTTTTGAAATGAGGAAAGAGCCTGTGATGATGATACCTGTTTAATTTGCCTGACCCCTTAAGTTATGTCCTTGAAGAATGCTGTTGTTTCTTGTCTTGAGTGATAAGATGATATTTACCCCTGAACTGTTCTCTACTTCTAAATCAATTATAGGTGCTGGTGCTAAAATACCTCTTTATTTAAGGAATAAGGATGAACAAATGTATCATCATACCCCTTTAGCTTTCCATTTAACAGAAATCATCCCTGGTTATTTTTGTGTATTATTTAGCTATTTCTAAATTGCTAGCTATTAAAATAGACTGTTGAAAAGATGTCTAACCCTTTGTCTTAGTCCATTTGGGTTCTTATAACAAAATGCCTTAGAATGGGCAATTTATAAACAACAGTATTTTACTTCCCACAATCCTGGAGTCTAGGAAGTCCAAGATCAAGGTGCCAGTAGAGCCAGTAGTGTCAGGTGAGGACTCTCTGCTTTGTAGATGGCACTTTCTACGTGTCTTCACATGGTATGAGGGAGGAGAACAAGTTCCCTCAGGCCTCTCTTACAGGGTCACTAATCCCGTTCATGAGGGTATTAGTTAAATGGAAAAATTATTGCAGAAGTAATCATGGAAATACTATATAAAAAAGACTTCAATAAATTCTTAACACTTCAATAATAAATATAATAATAAGTTATTAATATTCTAATAATTAAAATTGTAAGATATTTTGCCCATTAGATGGGCCAAAAAAGGAAGCAACATATTACAGAAAGTTGATAGTGTGTTTTAAAAAGCAACTCTTACCATCTTCATGTAAGAGTAAATTTGTACAGTGAATTCCTTTTTATAGGGTAATTTCTTTCTTTTTTTTTCCTTTTTGTCTTTTTTACTGACCGGTAACGGGATCACAACCCTCAGTGTCGCGCCCGTACCGGGAACCGGCAACGGGATCGCAACCTTTGGTGTTGCGCCCGCACCGTGCTCAGCCAGTGAGCGGGAACCGGTCTCCACATGGGATCCGAACCCTTGGCCGGAGCGCCGCCACGCTCCCAAGCAGTGCACTCTCCAGTGTGCCACCGGGCCGGCCCAAGACCCCATGTCTTAATACCACATTGGAAATTAGGTTTCAACATAAGAGTTTTGAGGGAATCCAAACATTCAGACCATAGCACCCTTTTAAAGAGCTTAGGGTAGATAAAAAAAAAAACCTCAATGATTCAAAGAAGAGCTAGAGGTCAAATCCAGTTATAATATATCACAACAAATATCTCTAGATAACACACCTCAGCCAATGGCCCAAATGCTTTAAGTAATAGCTTCTGTCAAGAAGGTAAGCTAAGCAAGAGGCAGGAAGATGATGCATTATTTAGTATAATTCAACCTCCTTTTTTACATTTCATCACACAAATACTAATATTGTTCTGAGAAACTTAAGTCAAAGAAATAATCTCATTTATGCTTATGTAGTATTCACTGCTTAGCATATTCTCAATATTCTGTAACTTCGACTTTCCCACTAACAAAGCATCCCACTCTGGAATATTGGCTGTATTTTGGGTATTTCAGAATCCATGTAAGAATTATGAGGGAGAAAAGGGTAAATGGGTGGAAGTAGGAGTTGGAAGGTAAAAAGGAATCCTGAAGTAACAAATAATGTCCTAGTTATGCAAATTGCTCTTATATCTGTATCTAAAAAGTTATAACTTGTGGGAGGGAAAGCCCAAATATAAAACAATATGGAACAACAAAAGACCTTGAATAGCCAAAGCAATCCTGAGGAAAAAGTAAATAAAACTGGAGGTATTACACAACCTGACTTCAAACTATACTAAATCTATAGTAACCAAAACAGCATGGTACAGGCATAAAAACAGACACGTGGACCAATTGAACAGGATAGAGAATCCAGAAATCAATCTGGGTACTTACAGCCAACTGATCTTTGACAAAGGCACCAAGAACACACATTGGGGAAAAGACCACTTCTTCAGTAAATGGTTCTGGGAAAACTCTATACCTGTGTAGAAGAATGAAACTAGACCTATACCTCTTACCACATACCGCAATCAACTCAAAGTGGGTTAAAGCCTTGAGTATAAGACCTGAAACTATAAAACTAGAAGAAAACACAGAGGAAATACTTCAGGATGTAGGTCTGGGTGAAGAGTATGAGTAAGACCCCAAAAGCACAACCAACAACAACAAAAAATAAATGGGATTATATCAAACTAAAGAGCTTTTGCATGGCAAAGGAAACAGTGAAAAGACAACCTACTGAATGGGAGAAAATATTTGCAAACCATACATCTGATAAGTGATTAATTTCCAGAATATACAAGGAACTCAACTTCACAGTAAAAAAATATAATCCAATTAAAAAATGGGCAAAGGAGCTGAATAGAGATTTTTTGAAGGAAGACAAATGGCCAACAGGTTCACGAAAAAATGCTCAACATCACTAATCATCAGGAAAACGCAAATCAAAAGCACAATGAGATATTATTTCACCCAGTTAGACTGGCTTTTATCAAAAAGACAATAACAAATGCTGGCAAGGATGTGGAGAAGGGGAACCCTTATATACTGTTGGAGGGACTATAAATTAGTACAGTCATTATGTAAAACAGTATGGAGGTTCTTCAAAAAGTTAGATAGAATTACAATACGATCCAGCAATCCCACTTCTGGGTATATACCCAAAGGAATGGGAATCATCATGTCTTAAGTGATACCTGCAATCCCATGTTCATCACAGCTTTACTTACAATAGCCAAAATATGGAACCAACTGAAACGTCCATCAACAGATGACTGGATTAGGAAAACGTGGTATTATATAGACAGTGGACTACTACTCTGCCATAAAAAAGAATGAAATTCTGGTATTTGCAGCAACATGGATGAGCTTGGAGAAAATTATGTTAAATGAAATAAGCCAGGCACAGATAGAGAAATACCACATGTCTTGGGAACTAAGAAAGGAAGGGAGGGAGGAAGGAGAGGAAGGAGGGAGGGAGGGAGGAAGGGAACGGATGGAAAGAAAAAGACCACAATAATACATTGAACTTTCAGAAGGAGAGAACAGACCTATGGTTACTAGAGGTAGGAAGTGGGGGCAGTGTTTAGGGGAGAAATTGGGTAAGGGGCACAAGAATAACTACAATTTGTAATAATGAACATGCTAATAATATTGATTTGATCATATATCATATGCAAATACTGCTAGTCAACTCCATACTCAATAAATATGTAAACATGTATAATCAATTGTTTCAATTAAAAAATAAACTAAAAAAAATAAAGGGCCAGCCCCGTGGCTCACTCAGTAGAGTGTGGTGCTAGTAGCACGGAGGCCGCGGGTTCGGATCCTATATAGGGATGGCCGGTGAGCTCACTGGCTGAGCGTGGTGCAGACGATGACACTGTGCGGAGGGTTGCGATCCCCTTACTGGTCAAAAAAAATAAATAAAAAGTAAATAAATAAATAAAGAAAGAAAGAAAAAAATTTCCTAAATTACGAGCCTCACTGAGAGGGTTTGGTTTATTACCCAGAACTATTTCGGAATTCATTCTTGAACCTACTGCCTCCACTGGCCTTATCTCTAAAAATGACCTTAGACTTTATCTACATACACTCATATTTTGCTGTAACAGGATTAATTTATTTTTTTATTGGCTGATTCCAAAACTGAGCTGACGTTTCTCTATCCAGTCCCCCACTTGACAAACTTTTTCTCTTATTCCCTAACTCAGAGACTGCATCTGATGAACGTGCATAGTTGTCCAATTCAGGCCAGAAACCAAAGAAGCATTTTAAACTCTTACTCTCCTGCACATCTTTAGTAACCAAATCCTACCAATTTGACCTCTCTGATATCTTTGTAATCTACTGTTCTCCATATTCTATTACAGTTTCATTATATCTCACCTGGTTTGGTAAAGTAGCCTCCTAAACCAGTCTGCTTTCCCTAACCTCCTTTTCTCCATCCCTCTCTTCAATTCACTTTCCACACTGCAGAAGACTGATATTTCTGAAATAATAATCTGATCATATCATTTCCCTTTGCCCTCCCAATAAAATCCAAACTTTGGCTTGGTTACATTACATACTATAAAATACTATCAAATAGGACCCCAGCTGTTCCCTGGAAAAATGGTACAAAGGACACCATTGAAAAGCTGGTATTGGAGAGGGGTCTTTATTTCTAGCTAAGCATTAACCTTATGTGTGGTGTTTGGGATCTATGTAATGACAAAAGTAAATGTATTCCTTATTGACACTTACAGATGAAATGCTGTGGCTTATTGCTCTTGGTTTTATTTTAAATGAATGTGGTATTTTTTCAATTATTTTTCAAACAATGCTGACAAATTAGATTTATTTGCTTTCTAATGCCCATCTTTACATGTTTATTTTTTATTTTTTATTTTATTTTATTTTTTTTCTCCTTTTTGTCTTTTTTTCGTGACCGACAATGGATCGTAACCCTCAGTGTCACGCCCGTACCGGACCGGGACCGGCAACGGGATCGCAACCCTCGGTGTTGCGCCCACACCTCGCTCAGCCAGTGAGCGGTCGGTCTGTATGTGGGATCCGAACCCTTGGCGGGAGCCCGGCGCACTGTAGCAGTGCGCCACCGGGCCGGCCCTTTACATGTTTATTTTGAATGTGCTGTTTGTTTCGCTTTTGGAGGCTGGCTGGTATGGGGATCTGATCCATTGACCTTGGATCAGAT